TATATATATATATGCACCAATACCATTTTTTCCAGATCAAGTACAAGTTCATGTACAAGTACTCACAGATACAATTATTGATACATTTTTGTTTAGTTTTTCGAAAGCAATGCAGACTAATGATTTCAGGACAGTGGTGGAGCGCCAGGGCCCTTTTACAGCTGCAATCACTGCAACCCTGGTAGTTCTCGTGAAAATGCCAAGTATCTGAACTGGCATTTGAACATCCCTATCCCTACTAGGGATGCAACAATACCGCTTTTTCGGTACGAGTACCAATATTCTGCTTTCGGTACTTGCCGATACCGAGTACTGATACTGGTGCTTCCGCTGGCATGGAGGCGGCTTCCCAATCTGGTTGGGCGGGTAATGACATCCTGCCTGGCTGCCATGCTATGTTGTTTGGCCAGCTCAATTGTGATTGGTTGTGAAGCCGGTTTCCCAGCCAATCAGCATCAAGCTAGCTTCCCGACCAATCAGGAAGCTGGGCGGCGAATAATGGCCCAGCTTCCTGTTTGGCCGGGAAGCCAGCTCCATGCTGATTTACTGGAAAGGCGGTTTCCCAGCCAATCAGCATCAATCCGGATGTTTTGCAGGCTCGATGCTGATTGGCCGGAAAGCCAGCTTCCCAGCCAATCAGCAAGGAGCTGGCTGTTTGGCCGGCTCGATGCTGATTGGCTGGGAAGCCAGCTTCTAAGCCAATCAGCATGGAGCCGGCTTCTCGGCCAATCAGGAAGCCGGGAGGCGAGTCATTACTTGCTGCACGGCCTCCTGATTGCCCGGGAAGCCGGCTCCATGTTACCCTATAGCACTGCCAGCCAGAGTAAATCTTCCGCTGACCGGAAGTTCCGGTATCTTGGAAGGTATCGGAGCATTTGGGCGAGTATGATACTGATACCGATACTAGTATCTGTATCGGTTCATCCCTAATCCCTACAGTATGTACTATTAAAGTGTTTTGGACTTGTCTATGATTGGTCAGTCACTCTTTCAGTTGTTTTACTCTCTGGACCTTTACCCACATTTATATCCTGACAGTTTCATTTTAAGCTGGACACAAAAGTAGCAAAAGTAGCAACGACATTGCTCAATCGGATAGAATGTAAGAGTTGTAAAATCAGCCCGTAAAAATTCTGATTCTAAAACACATCAAGCTTTGTTCATTATGATGAGTGAGTTATTATAACAACACTTATTTTTTCATCTTCTGATAATTTTCTCCTAAAATGCTCAGTTCGCAAACATAAATCTCATTATTATGTGTATCAATTTCTTCATATGAAAGGAACATTTATCTGATAAAAGCTCTATTATCAGATTGTTATTTTATCTTTATGTCCTGCTTTCCTCTACAAACAGCTGGTGTTATTTTAGGGGTTTATAACCTGTATGGTAATCATTATGAATTGCCTTTTATGTTATTTTTTCATAAGAGCCAATAAAATAATACTGAAAATGCTTTAATAACACTACATACAGAGCAGGCTTGATAAAGTGAGTTATGAACCTTTTTAAATTGAGATCTAAGGGTGATATGGTTTGGTATCAAGGAAATAACAGCTGAACAACAGAAAAGCAGATTTGTGCATTGAGCTTATTAACTACCATAGAGAGCCTTATGTAGAAATTTACAATTGCAGTGCTTTAGCCTTCCAACTTTAAAGTGTATCTAAAGGCAGGGATGAGCTTTGGGTTCAGGTCAAATGTGAGATTGACCGCAAGTCAGCCTTCAGTGAACCGTTGAACAAACTGGTCTTATTTGTCCAGTTCCCAAGTGTAACTTCTGTTTCAGCCACTCATCAGCCCCCTTGTGATAGCAAGTAAAGAACAAATATTGGAAAAAAATAAAATGTAATTAAAATAAAATAGAAAACTCCCCAAAAAAGTTAAAGCCCTCCTCCCCCATGTACACACACGTATGCATGTCGGGTGTTCACGCATGCAAAAATGACGATTGCGCCACACATATAAAGGTATCACCATGCAAGTCCGAGTGAAATCAATAATTTTAGGCCCATTATTCACTGTTAACTCTAAATTGATAACCCACCACCGTTGTCTGGGAGAACATTTGTTCAGATGAGGTTGAAAACCTGCCCAAATCAACGTTGCTTCCACTCCCCTCTCCAATGACAGGGGATCAGGATGTACCTACCTGTATAGTCACATTTACCCCAGGTAAGGGTAATATATGTGTGTTTATGTTTGCTGTCATCAATATGCAAAACACATGGCATTTCAGTAGATTTTCTTTTTTTCTTATATATATATATATATATTTCCAAGTGACTGGCGCTCATTTTGTGCATGATGGAAAATACATCAAGTCAAAGGGATGAATTCTCTGCTGCCCAGGGAAATGAAGACAATTGTTTTAATATACCAGATGAGTTTCTTTCAGAAATACTGAGTAACCTGGATGTCAAGAGTCTGTGTCAGATAAATCAGACATGTAAAGCCTCCAATGAACTTCTGGAGAACAATGACCTGTTATGGAGACGACACTGCCTGGCTCTAAGATCTGTCTGTCAGTCTGAGGTTGATGAAGATCGAGAAAAAGGATTTACATGTCAGGTTAATAATATCCACTCAACCACTATTATTGTATTATAAGATGTATGTAAGTACCTGTCACCTGCAAAAGAACAGCTGGATATGTAGTGAGACAATTATTAGATAAAGTAATGTCATTTTAAATGAGCCTGTTAGGCCTCACTCACATGGCCGCAAAAAAACAGCTGCTTAGATCCGCATGGCTTTTTTTAATGTAAACGTAGATCTATTAAATCCAATGTGTCCATGCACATGCGGATGTCCAGCTTTGTTTACTAGACTAACATTCAGAGCCATAATCCTGAAACACCCGAGAACAGTATTTTGGCTTTTTTCACACTGTAGGAATTCAAACATTTGTGCGAATGTTTACATGTGTATAGCGTACATCACAAATGCATTCTATTGGAGCTGCCTGTCTCCTAGCAATAAAGGCAGCTAGGTGGCAGGAGCTAGGAAGCAGGCCCCTTGGCCCACCTAGCATCCCTTAGTGCTAGGAGATAGGCAGCACTATAGATCGCGGCCCTGCCGACATGTTACACGCAATTGGTGTTTATGTGTCGGTCCTAAAAGAATGAGCCCCCTCCAATCAAATTATACATAGGCCGAAACATCTCCAACGGGCTGTCAGAGTGGACCTAATGAGGAACTGATTGCCAAAAGAATGGCATGTAATATATTAATGAAGCACTAGTTCTGCCCACATCGTTGTTAGGATATAGGCAGTTTGAGCTTCCTAGCAACCAATACCATATACTGGTGCTTTAAGCTTGTACGCATGTAAACAGTACAGAGATATTAACATCCATACAGTGTATGGACAACATTTCACGCAGGCTCTTGCTGCCAGATTTAGTATGGGCAACATTTTATGCAGGATCTTTCTGGCAGCATGATCCAGAAATGATACACCCGTGTGCATGAGGCCTTAGCATTCATATAATAATATGCCTCAGTGTAATAATAAATTCCCTCTGGGCACTGCCATATTCTGTATCATCCTACCACAAGGCAGTATTCAGAAGCCTGACTCCAAGTATACTCTATACAACATATAGGGGTCTTTTATAAACAAATTGCAGAGTCATTTGCCCTGAGAATCTCTGAACTTTTATTCTGTATGAATAGAGGCAAAAACAAACGTTCTTGGTATATTTTACTTCAGGTCCAATGTAATATAATGTAATATCGCATTATGGCCACAAGATGGAGCTCGGGAGCATAACAAATAAGGGGTCTATTCACTAAGCTGCCGAAGGATCTAGCCGTAGCTTCGGCTGATCCTTCGGCTAGCTTCAGCCCCAGGATCCCTTCGACTGTTGTACAGGCTATTCACTATAGCCCGTACAGCTCATATGCTTCGGCTCGACTGAGCCCAGGTGAAAGCTGAAGCTGGCCGAACGGCCAGCCAACAGCCTGCTACTGACTGCTGGGCGGAGCCAGCCGTCATCTCATGGCTGGCTCCGGCCACTTGCACAGACAGATCAGCATCCCTGGCTACCACGTAACCAGGGACACTGATCTCCAGACAGCCCAACTCTCCCGGAGCTATTAGATAGCGGCTCCCGGCCCCTCGGGAGAGAAACACTTTCTCCCAGAAAGGTTTACTCTGCTCGATCGAGCAGAGTAAACCTTTCCCTGCTCTGTTTTTGAGCAGCCATTGGCTGCCGTCAGAATAAAAATGTTAAAAAATCACCATAGGAATGCATAGCTAGATTCCTATTGGCTATTTCACTTTGATTTCACTGATGGAGAACTTCAGATTGACAGCAGCAGTGGGTGGGTGCAATAGCTAGTTTGCTATTGGCTATTGTAAATAGGAATCTAGCTATGCATTCCTATGGTGATTTTTTTCTTTATTCTGACGGCAGCAGAACCGCCTGGCCAATAAAAAAACAGTTGGACGGAGCTAGCTGTTACTGCTCGCTCCGCCCAATCGTTTCTATTTTATTTTTTACAACTTTTTAACTGTTTTTCCGAACAGCAGCGAATAGCCTTTGCTATATCTAGTGGCTATAATGCGACATTTTCAGAATGTTACCTTCAACCTGATAAGAAAATATACTAAGAACATTTGCGTTTTCCTTTATTTACACAGAATGAACTTTCATGCAGATTCGCATGGCGAATGCTCTGTGATTCGATTCTAAATATTGTCCTCAGGAAGATGTCTCTCTATGGCTACCCTTACGCTTGTTCACTTGAACTGCAGTAGGTTTATTTGATCAGAAAATATGTTTTGTATAATTCATGCATGATGTTGCATTTGTGGACCATGCAAGCTGGAATATGCATTTTGACATGTCGCTCACCGATATTAATTTCTCCCATACAGGAGACTCTGAGACGCAACTACAGCAAACGTGTAATCAAACAGCAATGGCTGGATGGCAGGTTCAGTAATATCTCTTCCTATTCAGAGCTGCCACAGAACTCCATGTGTCCACTGAGTGTGAAATCCTGGGGAGAAATAATGGAGGCTGAATTCAGAAGAGAGACACGCCAATGAATCTGACAGATTGATCCTCGCCTTATTGAACATCAGAGCACTTTTGTGATTTTATTTATTGTAATTGTTTATTATATATTGTACAGTATCTCTGTGTGTATTCTGTGAATGGGCCAGACAATACATAGCATTCTGTGAATAGGGAAGGTGGGAGGATTAATGACATTAGAATGTACGTCGTTGAGACCCACAACTCTCATATTCATAGCAGGCCAGTAGTACAGTGGAAGCTGTCCTATCTGGCATAAACTAAATTCTAGATTTTTAAGTACAAAGCAGTGATCAGGGCATGGCATATACTTGAGCAAAGTTAAGATTTCTTTAGACCACAGAAATGTCAAAAATGTCTGTACCTGAGTTGGACTTTAAGCATTGGGGTTGATTCAAGAAAAGCTCCAATGCCCAGATGCGGATAGGCATCGGGCTCTTTGACACCCTGGGCCCAGGAGTAGATGTTGGCAAGAGGGCACACTTAAAGAGTCCCCCTGGGTGATCCATGTACATTGCAAGGATTTTAACAAGCTTTGTTGCAGATTCTTGCCGGTTTCTGACCTAAAGTAAGAGTATTGTGTTTCCTCATATCACTTCCAAACTGATTCCTGAGTGTAGGGTCTGAGATCTTTATAATAAGGTGGTGAACTTTCTGTGTTGTAATGAGGAAAGTTGCAGTGTCTGCTTTCCATTAGAAGTTATAAACCCTCAGGCCAGGTTCACACCATTTTCCGGACCAAATCTGGAATGCGGGGCATTGACTTTTGCCACGTTTTTACCGCGATTTTACCATGTTCCAGAGCTTTTTTTAAGCTTAAAATGGGCTTTCAGTGGCGTTCCAGTGCGTTTGATGTGTTTTTGATGCGTTTCCATGCTTCCAGTGCATGGAATGTGAATGTTGCTGTTATAATCTTCCAGAGTATTGGGCAAATGTTGAGTGAATGCCAGAGGAGTTACCTGTCGAATCCTTCTTTTTTTTAATAAATTCTTTATTGTCGCAAAGGTAGCATGTACATGGTACGTATACATACATCGAATCCTTCTTGAATATACCCTATAGACTTATTATATTATAAATATTATAGACTTATCAGATTATAAATAATATATGTCATATTTTATATTTTATTTTATTATATTATAACATACTTAAGGTGGCCATACACATACGAATACCATCTTTCAGAACAGAAGCCACATACCATACCATATTATGATCATGTCTCAAACATAGCACTGAGCTGTGGTATGAAGTAACACCCACATTCCAAGCAAATGTAATACATCTGGAAGAGTTGAAAAACTCTTTCAATCTTTCAGTCAAATCACTCCATATCAGTGGCGTCACAAGGGGGATGCGGGGTGTGTGGCCCGCACCCGGGTGACACCATTGGAGGGGTAACATCAAAATGACTGACAGTCATTTTGGTGTCACCCCCCTCTGAAAAGTCGGGCACTCGGTCTTGGACCCAGTGCCCGGCAGTTTCAGGAGAGAGGAGGGGACCCGGCGGGTGAATGTCCCTCCTCTCTCTGCCAGTGTCCATCACCAAGATGGCCGTCAGCAGGTATCAATAAGATCACGCGCGCGGTGATTTCGCGGCAGGGGGGGGGGGGGGCGGCAAAAAAAACTAACCGCCCTGGGTGACACCGAGCCTCGGGACGTCCCTGCTTCATATGGGCATATTTACAAAGCAGGTAATTGACTTTCACCAAACATTCACTGGTGGGGAATAATTCCCTCTCATTTAAACCACACATCCCAGGATGATTTACCTACACTTAATATTTGGTGAATGTCACATTCACTGCTTTATACCTATGCTCCCAATCAAACAATTCATTTTTGATAGGCTGATTGCTGGTTCAGATCTTTTCCAAAGGAGATTGAAAAAAAGATTGTAAAGTGTATAGCAACCCTAACAAAGAACTCTTATTTGGTCCCATTTGGTCAGCTCAATATACCATCATAAGTGTTTGTTTTATATCTGATGAGTTTAAAAAATACCTGTTGATCCTGCTAGAAATCCTGTGAGCTAAAAACTTTCTACCCTCTCTGTCTCCACGCTCTGCATTGTTCTCAGCTGTCTCTGAATATTACTGAACCACATCCCTCCCTGTTATGGAGAACAGAAGAGGGGTGAGATCGTGTAGTTCTTTCTTGTTTCTGTTCTCCTGATACAGAAAGGTGAGTGAGTGTGGTCATCCTAGGACTGAAAGTGTGTTACTGGCAGGATCACCAGGGTAGAATAAAGGAAAAACAAGCTTACAAAAGAAAATGAATCTAGCCACCACATCTAGGGAGCAGTAAGCTGCATTATATTAAAGTTTTGTTTTAGGTTTAGATACACTTTAAACCCTTGGTTCTCAACTGGTGGGTCATGACCCAAAAGTGGGTCGCGGCCCCTTGATCAGTGGGTCACCGCGTGCCTTCCACTTTTCTAGGTAAGGTGCTCCTCAGCCTCCCCTTAGAGCAGCACTGTCAGTTCTCACGCCAAGCAGCCATTCAAAATATGCTGCCTGGTGCCGAGTGTCAGCTTGAGATGGGATGGGGTTATGGCCGCAAGGGAGCTCCATCCATACATGCATTGCTTACAGCTTCCTCATGTGACCTGTAGAGGTGCATGGACCGGAGTGACATCACATTCTGACTCACGGAACCTCTACAAAGGCACGCAAGTGAGATGTACCAGCAATGCACATATGGATGGAGCTACAGCACAGCACAGCATCCCACACTGGACCTCAGGCTGAGGATCCACTCCAGTTCTCATAAGATAGGGAGACTTTGTGGATCTTAAAAAATAAAATAAAAAAGTGTGTATGTGTGAGATTGTGTCTGTGATTGTGTGTGTCTGTCAGTGTTTTTGAGGGTCCGTTCACACCAGTACAGTGCGTTAATCACACAGCCCCGTGCGATTAACACTCTGTACCATGCAAAATCGCACCTACAGCGTATTCTGGTGTGGGAGGTGTGTTGAATTGTTATATGTTTGAATGGCACCCCAAACGCACCTCCCATGCACAGTTCCATCACCCACACCGCAAAACGCGGTACCGCAATGCCATGTGTTCCAGTGCGGTGCGACTTGGGTCATGACTTAATGACCAAGGACAAATGTGGGTCCTGAGGTTACACAGGTTGAGAACCACTGCTTTCAACCATGAATAATGCCTGTCCTTTGGAATTGTTCATTGTCCTAATCAAAGTGAGACAGACAGGAAACTGTAGTCTTAAATTATATAACACACTTTATAGATATTAACCCTTTCGCTGCCAAGCCCTCCGGAACATTTTTCAAATCAGACAGAAAGACATAAAATGACACCAATATATTCACTAAAAAATAAATCTGTTTTTAAATGCAACAAACATACCGTATGTTCCTAAATTTGTCTTCATATGAACATCCGTTACAGCAGAACTCAAGGAAATGCGCCATCAGACACTGTTGCAGTACATGTGTATTGATAAGAGATATGCTGATAAAAGGAGAAAGCAGAGGGAGCAAAGTGGTATGCCCATAAAGTTGGCCATACACCTATAGATTATCTGCGGATTTTCTATGGTCAGATGGAAAAAGTGCAACAGACTCCTCCATCTACGCTAAACTGTGTGAATGGAGGAATCTCCCACTGGGCCAAGCTTCAGTATCTTGCTAGTCGGCCCCGCTGGCTCTCAAAATACCTGAACAATGCCTGCATCCAATTTGATTGTGCAGGTAGTTTGACATCCAACGGGGCCGACTAGCAAGATACGGAAGCTTGGCCCAGTGGGAGATTCCTCCATCCACCCAGTTTAGTGTAAATGGAGGAATCTGTTGCACTTTTTCCATCTGATCATAGAAAATCTGCAGATGATCTATAGGTGTATGGCCAGCTTTAGTCTCCTTTGCTGTCCAATCAGCAGGGTGGGGGTGGGGTGGGGGGCTATACTATTGTTAATGGAAATCGAGGATCTGGCTCTGCTCTTCGCCAGCTATTTCAGGAGCACAAAATTACAAATCCTTTGGCAAGTAAAACAGTTCCATACATGTATTACAACTTTGTATGTAGCCGTTTGCCTAGAGTTCAGTTGTAATGGTTTATTCAGGATTTGTACCATTTGACTATGGTTTGTTTTTTTCGAGAACAGTAGCAATTGCATTGTAAATGTAGGACAACATGTGGGGTATACCTTAAAGTTTGTGTGCATTTGATACATTTGTATTGTCTTCTACAATAAATGTGTTGTCCACTGAATGATAAGCGTGTTGGGGTTCAAATTATTGGTTGTTCTCACTTTATGTTTTACATTTTATGTTGGTGCTGGAATGGATCTTCCAGAAATCACCCTTCCTAGCTTCAAAGTCACCTGTCTGCACCTCTCCACTAACATGACCCCCCCACCCTGACTTATAATCCCCTTTACACACCTTATCCCCCCTTCCAGCTTTTATTACTTGCATCAACATCATCAGACTTGCATTGTCAGCTACTGAGGGTTGGTGCAGACTTTGGAGATCCGGTTGCACACAGCGGTTGCGGCATGGCCCCATTGATTTCAATGGGGTTACATCCATGCGGCAATCGCTAAAAAATGGTACATGTACTTTTTTTCACGACGCACGGTTTTTCAACCACAATAGTGCGCGATTGCATGGGCGGAATCGTGGTGGGAAACCACACGATCTGCCTTGCACGACTTGGTGTTATTAGAAAATAATGGCACTACCAATGCAATCAGCGGTGGTGTGTTACTCTGTGACAACACGGCCATCCGCGCCAGTTTAATGCACGAATGCCATGTGTTTACGGATCGCCCACGTGTGAACCTGGCCTTGCATGTCAGTTCCTATTGATATAGGTACACCCCCTCCCAGAACTACATCTCCCAAGAGCTCTTATCATACACACACTGTGTGGGCAGGCTCTTGGGAGTTAAGTCAGCAGCATTTTTTGTTGTTGTTTTTTAGCTGGGAAATAAATCATAGATGTACTGCATGTATGTGGAGAGGGACAGAGAGGGGCAG